GACACACACGCGCACACACACACACACACACACACACACACACGCACACACGCACACACGCAGGAGCGGCGGACAGAGGTACCGAAGCAGCAATCTATCTATCAATCTATCTATCAATCGATCTATCAATCTACCTATCAATCTATCTATCTATCAGAGGGTAGGAGGAGGGGAGCGGCGGACAGAGGCGCTGAGGCAGGAGGAGGGGGAGGAGGAGGATGTCTGCGGATGAGGACGCAGATTGAGATGAGGAGGAGGCAGGCAGGCAGTCCGGCGAGGAGAGAGATAGAGAGAGAGGAAAGGGCCAAGGTAGGCGAGGAGGATGAGGAGGAGGAGGAGGAGGAGGAGGAGGAGGAGGAGGACTAGGAGGAGGAGGATGACGAGGACTAGGAGGAGTAGAGCAGGAGGAGGGAGGCGGGGGACAGAGGCACCGAGGCAGCAATAGGGTGTCAGGGCCCGGGAAGGAGGGCGCAGTTGAGATGATGCGGAGGCAGGCAGCCCGACGGCATTTGTGTTTTTTTTTTTGTTTTGTTTTGTTTTTCAACCGCCTACTCAGTCAATCAATCAACGGAAAAAAAAAACGAAAAAAGAAAAAGGAAAAAAAAAAAAACATCCTATCGAATCGATTGATTGGATTTTGATTCCCATTGAATCGATTCGATTGGATCTTGATATCAAGATTCACTCGAATCAATCGATTCGATCGGATCTCAAAATCAAGATCCAATCACTTCGATACTTGTGTTTTTGTTTTTTACTTTTTGATTGACTGATTCATTGATTGATAGATAGATCGACTCGGAGTCTCCATTGCACTTCCATTTCATTCGTAGATACGACAAAAAGAGAGAGAGAGAGAGAGAGAGAGAGAGAGAGAGAGAGAGAGAGAGAGAGAGAGAGAGAGAGAGAGAGAGAGAGGGCGAGGCCGGCGAGGAGGATTAGGAGGAGGAGGAGGAGTATGAGGAGGACCAGGAGGAGGAGGATGAGGAGGACTAGGAGGAGAGGGAGGGGAGGGAGGGGAAGGAGGAGTAGGGTAGGAGGAGGGAGGCGGCGGACAGAGTTGCCGAGGCAGGAGGAGGAGGATGAGGAGGAGGTCAAGGGATGGGGGCGCAAATTGAGATGATGAGGAGGCAGGCGGACAGTCTGACGAGGAGAGAAAGAGAGGAAAGGGCCGAGGTAGGCGAGAAGGAGGAGGAGGAGGAGGAGGAGGAGGAGGAGGAGGAGGAGGACTAGGAGGAGGAGGAGGAGGACTAGGAGGAGGAGGAGGAGGAGGAGGACTAGGAGGAGAGGGAGGGGAAGGAGGAGTAGGGTAGGAGGAGGGAGGCGGTGGACAGAGGCGCTAAGGCAGCAATAGGGTGTCAGGGAAGGAGGCCGACATTAAGATCACACGGAGGCAAGCAGCCCGACGATATGTTTTTTTTTTTCTTTTTTCCGAACCGTTCAAGAAATCAATCAATCAACGGAAAACGAAACGAAAAAAGGAAAAAAAACAACAACATCCAATCGAATCGATTGATTGGATTTTGATATGAAGATCGGATCTTGATATCAAGATCGGATCGATTCGAATAATTGGATCTTGATATCAAAATCCACTCGAATCAATCGGATCTTGATATCAAAAGGAAAGGGCCGTTTAAGCATTGAATCGATTTGATCGGATCGATTGGATCTTGATATCAAGATCCACTCAAATCAGTCGATTCGATCAGATCTCGGAATCAAGATCTAATCACTTGGACACTTCTGTTTTTTTTTTTAGTCACTTTTTGACTGACAGATTGATTGATTGATCGACTTGGAGTCTTCGACTCTTTTTTTTTTTTTTTTTTACTTTTTGATTGACTGATTGATTGATAGATAGATAGATGGACTCGGAGTCTCCACTGCTCTTCCATTTCAGTAG